GTGTTCTTGTTTCTAAGGACTCGTGTTCTTGTTTCTACGGACTCGTGTTCTTGTTTCTAAGGACTCGTGTTTTTGTTTCTAAGGACTCCTGTTCTTGTTTCTACGGACTCGTGTTCTTGTTTCTAAGGACTCATGTTCTTGTTTCTATGGACTCGTGTTCTTGTTTCTAAGGACTCGTATTCTTGTTTCTAAGGACCCGTGTTCTTGTTTCTAAGGACCCGTGTTTTTGTTTCTAAGGACTCCTGTTTTTGTCTTTACGGACTCGTGTTCTTGTTTCTACGGATTCGTGTTCTTGTTTCTAAGGACTCCTGTTTTTGTTTCTACGGACTCGTGATCTTGTTTCTATGGACTCGTGTTCTTGTTTCTAATGACTCCTGTTCTTGTTTCTAAGGACCCGTGTTCTTGTTTCTAAGGACCCGTGTTCTTGTTTCTAAGGACTCGTGTTCTTGTTTCTAAGGACTCGTGTTCTTGTTTCTATGGACTCGTGTTCTTGTTTCTAAGGACTCGTGTTTTTGTTTCTAAGGACTCCTGTTCTTGTTTCTACGGACTCGTGTTCTTGTTTCTACGGACTCGTGTTCTTGTTTCTAAGGACTCGTGTTCTTGTTTCTAAGGACTCGTATTCTTGTTTCTACGGACTCGTGTTCTTGTTTCTAAGGACTCGTGTTCTTGTTTCTAAGGACTCCTGTTTTTTGTTTCTACGGACTCGTGTTCTTGTTTCTAAGGACTCGTGTTCTTGTTTCTAAGGACTCGTGTTCTTGTTTCTAATGACTCCTGTTCTTGTTTCTAAGGACCCGTGTTCTTGTTTCTAAGGACCCGTGTTCTTGTTTCTAAGGACTCGTGCTCTTGTTTCTAAGGACTCGTGTTCTTGTTTCTACGGACTCGTGTTCTTGTTTCTAAGGACTCGTGTTTTTGTTTCTAAGGACTCCTGTTCTTGTTTCTACGGACTTGTGTTCTTGTTTCTACGGACTCGTGTTCTTGTTTCTAAGGACTCGTGTACTTATTTCTAAGGACTCGTGTTCTTGCTTCTAAGGACTCGTGATCTTCATTCTAAGGACTCGTATTCTTGTTTCTACGGACTCGTGTTCTTGTTTCTAAGGACTCGTGTTCTTGTTTCTAAGGACTCCTGTTTTTTGTTTCTACGGACTCGTGTTCTTGTTTCTAAGGACTCGTGTTCTTGTTTCTAATGACTCCTGTTCTTGTTTCTAATGACTCCTGTTCTTGTTTCTAATGACTCCTGTTCTTGTTTCTAAGGATTCCTGTTCCTGTTTCTACGGACTCGTGTTTTTGTTTCTATGGACGTAGGCGGGAGGGGAGCGGAGGAGTGGGGAGGGAGGGGAAGAGTGTGTCTCATTTGAAATCAAAACCAAGAAAAGAAGAGACTGGCTGCATAAAGTTGGTCATATCCGGCCTGGTCCTCAGGTTATTTCCCAATCACAGGCAGCCCTAATACAACATTGCAGTTAAAGGTGCTTTTTAGGATTTGTACATTCGAGTAATGATACACTGTACTTTGCGACTCCGGATGTTAAATCGCTCAGTCTGCGGTTTAAATCGTTAAATCTGCGGTTTAAATCGCTCAGTCTGCGGTTTAAATCGTTAAGTCTGCGGTTTAAATAGTTCGGTCTACGGTTTAAATCGCTCATTCTGCGGTTTGAATAGCTGTGCATCTGGTGCTCTGATTGCAACCTAGAGCTAGCCAGAAACCAGCTACAGAGGGCAACCAACAACGTAACAAGGTGGATGGAGAAGTGAGGATTTCGAATTAACCCAATCAAGACCAGCCAGATGATTTTCAACTGGAAAAGGATATGGACGTACGAAGACTTTGACACCCGCATTGAAATAGACGGTCAAAGAATTCAGAAAAGGACACAAACGACTTTCCTGGGAATGCTGTTCGACTCCCAAATGAGCTGGAGTCGACACATCGAGCAAACTGTCGCAAGGTGTAAGAGCAATAAAAACCTGCTAAGAATAATCGAAGGTTCCGGCTGAGGTGCACACACAAAGACACTATTTGCATTTTTGCAAGGCATTCATCAGAAGCAAAACTGAATGCGGTTCGATCGTATATGATGCTGCTTCTGATGCCAAAAAAGAGACTTTAAACACAATCCAGAACCAGGCGATGACAATCATCCTGGGTGTAGGGAAAGGAACTAGTCAAGAAGCCATGGATGTAGCCTTGGGTGTCATGCCACTGAAACTACGCAGAAAACTGCTTAGACACGGCTACTGGTCCCAAGCGGCACTTGATCCACACCACCCTGCCATTCAGGCACTTGATGTCAACGAATACACCTGGTCAAATGTCAGCATTCCAATACGAAAATTCCAGAGACCGGCCGCCTGGAAAACGGCATCTGAAATTGACACCACCACCACCAGCGGTAAGAAATACCACAGACCATCCCCACCTGGGAGCTTTAAACACCATACACCGACAAAAGCCTGGCCTATGTGATAGACAGAAACCAGGACATACTCGATGAAAGGTCGAGAGTCGAACAGTACATCCGTGATGCAGAAATAGACACAATGATAATATACACAGACGGCTCGAAAACCAGCACGGGAGGTTAGTTGCGTATCCTTTACAGGACGTTGCAGAACCAACCCTAACAGCCCCTGGCTGTTGCGTGGATTTTCTAGGCAAATTTACGTCCAGTAGTTTGCCATTGCTTTTATGACGGTCGGCTTTCTTGATACCACTGTCGAAACCAACGCAAGGCGCATGGCCTGCAGCTGGGATCGAACCTGGCATCCCGGCAATACGAAGCGTTCGCTTCGACTTAGCCACAGAGCCGACAGGAGTATACATTCCTTGCCTGGAAATCAACACACGAATACAAACTCACTAACGATATGGCAGTCTGCTCAGCTGAGCTGGTAGGGATTCTTAATGCACTTGAGCTAGCCTGCGAACGGCCCCCCATAAAACTCCTCGTCCTTTTTGACTCACTATCAGCAGTAAAAGCCCTGAAAGACTTTTCGAAAGTGAGCCGACAAGACATCAAAGACAACTTCCACCAGACTCAGAAGCCTGGGATGCCAAATCACCATTGGTTGGATCCCAGCACACATAGGCATTGAAGGCAATGAAGCAGCAGACAGAGCGGCAAAAAGGGGCACCTTTAGCCACAACACAGTATTCGCAGGACTGTGCAAAACTGAACTGAAAGCAATAATCAAAAGCAAAATATGCAGAGAATGGTCCCAGCAGTGGTCGACCAGCGACAAAGGCAGAGCTGCCTACAAACTACTCAAGAAACCCAGTCTCAAAAATCAAGTGACTAAACCGACTAAAATTCTGGCCATTCGAAAACTGTGGAAGATGCGACTAGGGTGTTGGCCAGACCGATTCCGCACTCCTGTGTGCGAGGAATGCAGGGCCCCTAACTCCATGGAGCACTTCTTACTAACTTCTAACCACCACGAAACAGAAAGACAAGAGGTCTACACTTCAGAGCCACAAACCAACCAATGACAATCGAAAACTGCCTCAGCGTAAGCTGTGACGACAAGGTCCAGCGACTTGTGAAGCAGTTCATATCCAGAACCGGGAAAGCGATCTGAGAGCCACCCCTCAACCTGATGTGACATGACCAGAACCAGCGAGTACCAGCACCATCAACAGAGTCAACTATCCCTCTCACTCACTCTTCCAACCTCACTGTATGTCCTCTAAAAAGCATTCCTGCTATTCTACCTATACTATCTCCAATCCTTCCCTACTACAGGCGAATTAGACAGACTAAAACAAACCAACTAACATAAATTTCTCTTAGTGTATTTTCAGAAAGATTAAAACGACAGAACCTACCAAAGGCCACCCGACGCTCCGAGGCAAACCAGCTAAAAGGGCATAGCACACAAAGGGGACCAGCACTCGTGGATTCCAATTTATTATGCATTTCATTTTTTACCTCCCCCACCCCTTCCCACATAAGTTTAAAATGTAAATCAGTTTATTTTCAATTGAAAAGCGACGGAACCCAACAAAGGCCACCCGACGCTCTGAAGCGAACCAGCTAAAAGTGTATCGCACAAGAAGGGGATCAGCATTCATGGATTCCAGTCTATTACGCTTCTCTTTTAACCTCCCCCGCCCCGTCCCACATATGTATAAAATGTAAATCAGTCTATTTTCAGATAAGGGAACAAGACAAATTCCTGCCACAACACGAGCTATCAACCTAGGAACAAAACGCACGAAGGGTAAGCATTGCGCAGTCTCACCCCACCAGAGGCTCAACGCACCAGGGACCTCTTTCTCAACCACAAGTAGATTGTGACAGTCGTCCTGATGGGTGCCTTGTGTTGGACATTCAGTGTGCGGAACTGTTTGCTTCGCGGCGGTGTGACTGACTGACTTGGTGCTCGCACAGATGAACAGTGCAACAGCTAGCGGATAGCCAACTAAAACAGGAACCAGGACTCATAAAACCAGAACTTGGGCAACGAACACAGACGTCACAGATATTTGCTATATAAGTCAGCCGTACTTAGTACACTGCAAGGTGTTCATGTCACTATCAGGTGGCACCATCACACCCTTCTAGCAATAGGCTTTTATCTACACAACACTAGTCCACCTCTATGGCTTAGGTGTTGCGACCGCGCCTCGTAATGTCGGGGTACTGGGTTCGATCCCACCTACGGACGATTTGTCTCGCCTTGGTTTCGACAGTGGTACCGAGAGCTGACCGTTTAGGAAGCAATGGCAAACTAATGAACGTGAAATTTCTACATAAATAAATAAATCCCATAGTTTCCGGCTACATTCTCTAACTCACAAACGAAGTTCAATATTAACTACGTGATTACCATGGCCAATCGAGATTTACCGCTTCTGTTTTTTTATTTGTGCACAAGGGAAGACTGTTTTTAAATCGCTACAGTCTCGTAAATGTAATAAACATAAAACTAATAAATACGAAAGCTATAAAAAGCGAAAGCAATAAACATAAAGTGGACAGTAAACACAGCCACAATCTCACCTGGGGTCGAAGGAATGGACTTCACACCCCATCTGTGCCATTGCATCGTCAAAGGAGAAGTCAAAGTTGATTCTGTATACAGGACAGACAAGACTGTTTACTTCTTACAAAAGTCTACTAATCAAACAGGCGGTCATGCAATCAATACGTCAAATATCTATGTCACAATCATGTGTTGTGTGTGGTTCCGCCAACTTGGCTGTCATCAAATCTTGACAGGAATCATGCGTCTAGCGTCAACAAGCGTGGTTTCCTGCCACGGTCTTCTGAAAGTCCACGCCGTTTAACGTTGGGAGCTACGCCCTTGTATGGTCTTGTGTCTAGTAGACTTTCAATCATTTCTGACACTGATTATCTTTCATGCTGTGATGCAAACCAAAGGCGCTGCAACTCAGATATTCACACCCCACCAAAGGAAAACAGTGTTAGGAGGCTCCCCCTGCCCAAATCCCTTCTTGTAGGAGGCTCAAAGCGCGGCCGCCTCTCCCTTTGCTCCCTAAATTGTATAAGTTGGCTTAGCGTTCTAATGGTTTCTGTGTATATAAATTCAAGTTAAAAGTATATGATTACACATTTTATAAATTTTAAACATACAATTACATTTATATGCCACGTCTTGACTGACTGACTGCTTGACTGACTGAATGACTGAGCACACGACTGTCTATTTACCTAGTGTGAATGAATACCAAATGATTAAATTACTGTTTTACAGGCTGATTGCTCAATTAATTTGCTGATTATTTGAATAAATAATGTCTAAATGATTGTTGCAAATAAATTTGATATCTAAGTTATGATTTAAGATTTAATGCGTTTTCAGTGACTGAAATTAAGATATAGATATACACCATATATATATTACCATAAGGACAACAAATACACTGGATGCGAGTGTTTGATCAGTAAACCATTAGGACAACAAATACACTGGGTGTAAGTGTTTGATCAGTAAACCATTAGGACAACAAATACACTGGGTGCGAGTGTTTCATTGGTAAACCACTGAGACAACAAATACACTGGGTGCGAGTGTTTGATCAGTACACCACTAGGACAACAAATACGCTGGGTGTAAGTGTTTGATCAGTAAACCGTTAGGACAACAAATACACTGGATGTAAGTGTTTGATCAGTAAACCACTGGGACAACAAATACACTGGGTGTAAGTGTTTGATCAGTAAACCGTTAGGACAACAAATACACTGGGTGCGAGTGTTTGATCAGTAAACCACTGGGACAACAAAAACACTGGGCGCGAGTGTTTGATTAGTAAACCACTAGGACAACAAATTCACTGGGTGCGAGTGTTTCATCAGTAAACTACTGGGACAACAAATACACTGGGTAAAAGTGTTTGATCAGTAAACCACTGGGACAACAAATACACTGGGTAAAAGTGTTTGATCAGTAAACCACTGGGACAACAAATACACTGGGGGCGAGTGTTTGATTAGTAAACCACTAGGACAACAAATTCACTGGGTGCGAGTGTTTCATCAGTAAACTACTGGGACAACAAATACACTGGGTAAAAGTGTTTGATCAGTAAACCACTGGGACAACAAATACACTGGGGGCGAGTGTTTGATCAGTAAACCACTAGGACAACAAATACACTGGGTGCGAGTGTTTGATCAGTAAACCACTGGGACAAAAAATACACTGGGTGCGAGTGTTTGATCAGTAAACACCTAGGAGACAACAAATACACTGGGTGCGAGTGTTTGATCAGTAAACCACTAGGACAACAAATACACTGGGTGTAAGTGTTTGATCAGTAAACCACTAGGACAACAAATACACTGGGTGCGAGTGTTTGATTAGTAAACCATTAGGACAACAAATACACTGGGTGCGAGTGTTTGATCAGTAAACCACTGGGACAACAAATACACTGGGTGTAAGTGTTTGATCAGTAAACCACTAGGACAACAAATACACTGGGTGCGAGTGTTTGATCATTAAACCACTGGGACAACAAATACACTGGGTGTAAGTGTTTGATCAGTAAACCATAAGGACAACAAATACTGGGTGCGAGTGTTTGATCAGTAAACCACTGGGACAACAAATACACTGGGTGTAAGTGTTTGATTAGTAAACCATTAGGACAACAAATACACTGGGTGCGAGTGTTTGATCAGTAAACCACTAGGACAACAAATTCACTGGGTGCGAGTTTTTCATCAGTAAACTACTGGGACAACAAATACACTGGGTAAAAGTGTTTGATCAGTAAACCACTGGGACAACAAATACACTGGGGGCGAGTGTTTGATTAGTAAACCACTAGGACAACAAATTCACTGGGTGCGAGTGTTTCATCAGTAAACTACTGGGACAACAAATACACTGGGTAAAAGTGTTTGATCAGTAAACCACTGGGACAACAAATACACTGGGGGCGAGTGTTTGATCAGTAAACCACTAGGACAACAAATACACTGGGTGCGAGTGTTTGATCAGTAAACCACTGGGACAAAAAATACACTGGGTGCGAGTGTTTGATCAGTAAACCACTAGGACAACAAATACACTGGGTGCGAGTGTTTGATCAGTAAACCACTAGGACAACAAATACACTGGGTGTAAGTGTTTGATCAGTAAACCACTAGGACAACAAATACACTGGGTGCGAGTGTTTGATTAGTAAACCATTAGGACAACAAATACACTGGGTGCGAGTGTTTGATCAGTAAACCACTGGGACAACAAATACACTGGGTGTAAGTGTTTGATCAGTAAACCACTAGGACAAAAAATACACTGGGTGCGAGTGTTTTGATCATTAAACCACTGGGACAACAAATACACTGGGTGTAAGTGTTTGATCAGTAAACCATAAGGACAACAAATACTGGGTGCGAGTGTTTGATCAGTAAACCACTGGGACAACAAATACACTGGGTGTAAGTGTTTGATTAGTAAACCATTAGGACAACAAATACACTGGGTGCGAGTGTTTGATCAGTAAACCACTGGGACAACAAATACACTGGGCGCGAGTGTTTGATTAGTAAACCACTAGGACAACAAATACACTGGGTGCGAGTGTTTGATCAGTAAACCACTGGGACAACAAATACACTGGGCGCGAGTGTTTGATTAGTAAACCACTAGGACAACAAATACACTGGGTGCGAGTGTTTGATCAGTAAACCACTAGGACAACAAATACACTGGGTGCGAGTGTTTGATTAGTAAACCACTGGGACAACAAATACTCTGGGTAAAAGTGTTTGATCAGTAGTTAGTAAAGTGGTGTGAGGTAACAGCGGCTGTTGCAAATGGTACACGAAACTTTGTGATAAGAAAGGTCTAGGGTTCATAGTTGTGGCCTAAATGCACCAACATATCTTTGTTTTAACCAACAGCTGTTCTGTCAAGCGACACACAGGGAGATATGGTCGGACTAATGGACAGATATACAGACAGACGGACACAGGCAGACTCACGGACAGACAGACAAATCGACAGAGAGACGGACAGACTGACTGACTGATGAACTGACAGACATACAGATGGACGAACATACAGAAGGAAGTACATACATAGACGAACCACCACATACAAAGAGCTAAATAATGTGACCATATGTACCTGGTGGTGACTCACACATAGACGAACCACCACATACAAAGAGCTAAATAAGGTGACCATATGTACCTGGTGGTGACTCACACATAGACGAACCACCACATACAAAGAGCTAAATAAGGTGACCATATGTACCTGGTGGTGACTCACACATAGACGAACCACCACATACAAAGAGCTAAATAATGTGACCATATGTACCTGGTGGTGACTCAAACATAGACGAACCACCACATACAAAGAGCTAAAAAAGGTGACCATATCTACCTGGTGGTGACTCACACATAGACCAACGACGACATACAAAGAGCTAAATAAGGTGACAATATCCAACTGGTGGTGACTCACACATAGACCAACGACGACATACAAAGAGCTAAATAAGGTGACCATATCTACCTGGTGGTGACTTACACATAGACCAACGACCACACACAAAGAGCTAAATAAGGTGACCATATCTACCTGGTGGTGACTCACCCAAACGAGTAGACGAGGCAAGGTGGCTTCACCGTAAACGGGCTGTCTTGGCAGATGTGCCAGTTGCCGACTGCGACCCTCTGCTGGCACTGGTATCGCAGCGGCGTGTTGAAGTACCTGGACATAGAGGGGGTCGCCATATTAGCTGGCAAATAACACAACATACATTCAAGTACTTTACTGTGGCATAAAGTGAGGGACCCCTCTTCTGGTTTTCTATATTTGATAGACCAATTTTCACATGGTGGGTGATATGGCCAACATAACGCTGGCCGCCTTGACTTCCCAGGATTTTACCACGTGCCCATTTAAGGCTGGGTTAATCTGGGAACCAACGCCATTTAAACAAAAGTCTGTCTGGCTTTGTCAGGACTAGAACACACGATTTTCAGGTCTGCAGGCGAGTATCTTGCCACTACACCACAACGGCTGGCAAGGCTATGAGCCAGACTGACAATGTTTAAATAGAGATAAGCTATGAAGGAATGAGTTCCTGTCTTCAATACTGGTACAGCAAAATGTGCTCTCTTGCTGTGTCTCTCTCTGTCTCTCTCTCTCTCTGGCAGCAAGTGTAAGATGTACATCAATGCCTTCAACCTGTTTAGCCCCCCCCCCCCTCTTCCCCTAATAGGGACCAATAAGCCATATGTGCAGGCGCCTATGCTGTGTATTACATGAGGCCGCGTTAGCGCAGTCGATAAAAGGCTCGCTTTCAAATACAGCTGCGACTCGCTGCAGCCCACGGTCGGTGTTCGAAACCGGGCGGTTCCCGGGGTTCACCCAGCCTCTAGGAAATGGGTACCAGAGTTGACACTCTGGGGTAAATGGAGGAACGTCGTTATAGCTACAGAGTTACGTGCGAGCCGCGACACAAGCGGACAATTCTTATCAGCTGTCGGTACTGGTGGCAGAGCACTTATGGTTTATAACCGTGTGCAATGATGCTGGTTCACATCTCCTGACTTTACCTTTACCCTTTTTACACCAGGCTCTCCTAGACCAGAATGGTTTGTCAAGTGCACGGAACCGTGGCCTAAGGAGCACTGACAAGACTCCAGGCAGCAGTCACGGAGGATATAGTAAGCGTTTGAGCAGACGATTGCAGGCTGCAGTTGTAGTCTGCCTGCGGTGTAACTGGCGTGTTCAATAAAAAAAATTATAATTAAAAAAAATAATAATAATAAGGTCACACTGGAGATCCCTTGGGGCGGCCTTACAAGCCAACATCGATTAAAAAAAAACTATATAGGTAGACAACAAAAAGATGAAGAGGGAATACAAATTATAAAATTTTTAAAAACACACACAATAAATTGGTCTATACCGATTTCATCTGGTAATTACCAAAGCTTCACTTGTAGTGATTCGTAACCCCCCTCCCACCCCAACCCCCCCCCCCCCCCCCCCCCAAAAAAAAAAAAAAAAAACACGAAATGTACATTTCTGTGTTTCAATGATCGCGTTTGCAGATTAAGATGTGTCTGAAGTAGTGTAAGCAACAACTAACCGTAAGCAAGAATTGGTATCTATCGAATCTGCTGTGTTAATTGGTAAATAAGATCAAGGTTATTCAATGCAACATCTCAATCAGGACAAAGTTCAGCAAGACGTTGGAGGAAAGATGCACACACGAATGTAAAACTGTCTTAGTAACTTCCTGTTCCATCACACAAGATAGCATTAAGCTATTTAAAGTAGGGCTGTACCGAATATTCGCTTCGTATTCGCTTCGGGGCCGAATAGTGGACCTAATAACTATTCGGTATTCGGCCGAATAGTTGCGGTCGGGCCGAATACGAATAGTGGTTACTTTACACCCGTTTCGTGACTGGTGGAAAACACATCAAGATTTCCCAACTTAGTTCATTCTGTCAAGCGTTATCTTTGTGCACCACCTACGAGCGTACCAAGTGAACATCTGTTTAGTACAGCTGGAAATACCTTCAGTGAGACAAGAAGCTGCCTAAATGCTGACAACATAGAACAATTGTATACACTATTCGAAAGTAGAAGAATGGGCCTCAGTTTGAACAGTGGGAAGACAGAAGTATTGGTGGTATCAATGAAAATAATTATTACTTAATGTGTAATAAAAGTCAAAGGTTTAATTTTGGGACAAGTACAGCAATTAAAGTATCAGGACACATGGATAACATCACATGGAAGATGCATTACTGAAATAAGAAACAGAATAGGACAGGCAAAAACTGCATTCTATACAATGAAGAACATCTTATGCAATGTATGTTTGTCACTGAAGGTTCGAAAATAAATTCTTGCTTGCTACATACATCCAGTTTTAAGATATGGCTGTGAGTCCTGGACAATCGGTAGGCAAGCCAAACAATTTCTTGAGGCCTCAGAGATGTGGTTTTACAGAACAATGCTTAAAATACCTTGGACAGCCAAACACAAAAAAGCAACCAAGAGGTTTTGAAAGAGGCGGGAGCCCGAAGACAACTACTCACAGACATCAAAATGAGACAGTCATAATTTTTCGGCCATGTTATAAGATGAGGGAAAATGGAACATGTGGTGACGACTAGAAAGATCTGTGGAAGGAGGAATATAGGAAGACAACGAGAGAAAATTCTTGACAGTCTTGTTGCATGGCATGGAGGTGTGTCAGCACATGAACTGATACATGCTGCAGGGGATCGCAGATTGTGGCGCGGCATAATCGTCCATGCCAGTGGACAAAGCACCTGATGATGATGATTCACTATTCGTATTCGTATTCGGCCGAATAGTTAGTCTAGCTATTCGTATTCGGCCGAATAGTGAAAAATCACTATTCGGTCTAGCCCTAATTTGAAGATTAAATAAAATAAGTGTGATCATGATTAAACAAAAAAGGGAAGATCGGCCCCGGACTGTGAGACAATAGACGTCAATAATGCAACATCTTTCAGTTGTTTAGGTCCTCTTCCATCTCTTTTCCCTCACAACAAGGTACCAACCATAGTGTTGTTTAAAAAGCTAGAAGCCATTTATCTAATTGTCTGCTGTTGTCTGTGGGGTTTTGTATTAGTTAGTCTGTCAGTTGATACATCCAGTCTTCAGTATATACCCTAGCGTCTGGCGACTGATAACACCAGTTCTGTGTTGGTTGGCCGTTTTTCTTTGGCTATCTGTAGTTCAACAGAAATTAAAAGGAGGATGGCCTTGGCAATGCAAAGATTGAACAGCCTTAGAAGTCTATGGTTAAGCACCAGCAAGGAGATCAAAATTAGAATTTTGAGAGCATGCATCTTCCCTGTAGCTACATACGGATGTGAGTCGTGGACTATCTCTCAGTCCTTAAGAAAGAGAATAGGGGCTTTTGAGCTGAAATGCTAAAGAAAGATTCTCAGAATATCTTGGACAAAAAAGGGGAGAAATATTGACATCTTAAAAGATCTGAACATCAAGGAAGATTGGCTAATAAAAAGCATCCTTTCTCGGAAGCTGAAATATTTTGGTCATATCAAGCGCCACGACGGTTTGGAAAAAACTATAGCAGAAGGCATGGTACCAGGAAGGAGGGACAGGGGCCGACCGACACGAAGATAGGCACAGGATATAAGTGACTTCTTGAGTATGAAAGTATATGAGGCAGGAGAACTGGCGAGAGACCGAGTTTCTTTCAGGCAGACTATGATGAGAGCGACGTTCTGCAAAGGACCTGCTACACGATGATGACCTGTAGAGTGTTCTTGTCTGCCAATAAATCCTTTGACATAAGTTCCCGTAGTCTGTTGATTGTTATAAACTCAGCGTCATTTCCTGAATGATTAACTCCTCCTTCAAGTAGAGATTAAAAAGTTCACGGTTATTTTGTTCACGGAGAGATTGCGTCAAAGCCACGAGAACTTTTGTTTTTAAAATATAAAAGTCGGCGCTTCTTTGATTTATTCCCCAAAATGGCGGCATGCCACATTCTGGCCATAAAATATCCAAAAATATCCGAACGACGGTGTTCGCGTATACCTAAAATACGGACTTTCTGCCAACGAACAAATCGCGGCAAAACTAGGATTACTTGACAACCAATATCAACATTTGCACACGGTACTAGTAGCAGACGATAAATACCGACCGTTGACAAAAATTTCGAGCGTTTCTGCAGACGACGTTACTAGCAGACGATATTAGCGACCGTTGACCAATTTCGAGACATTACAGACGATGAAAGCCGATTAGCAATACTGTGTTCTTCCAATTGGAGCGGTAGATGTCAGACTTGTCGGCATGCGCCAAACGCGATTAAACTCATCGCCGAGCGTATCTAGGTGCCTGGGACTCACGAGTACAGTAATTGGAGGAAGTTGCAGGAGATGCGGTAGCTGCCACTCGTGAGTCCCAGCCATCTAGTTTAGCCCCCATCCGCGCCGCGCGTAGCGGCGCGGGGGATACGCTCGGCGGTGAGGCACACTCGCAGAAGCAGGTCGGCAAGCAACTTATCGCCCAGACCCTGTCAGAGCATTTGTTTCGTTATTCGGAGCCGGCACATATATTTTTAATAGAACTGGCCTCGCATTCGGATATTTTTTGATATTTTATGGCCAGAAATTGGCCAATTTAGCTCCTTTTTGAACGCCATCATATTACAGCCGCCATTTTGGGGAACGATTCAAAGAAGCGCCTAAAAGTCGTCGCACTAGAAATCAAATCGTGCTGCAACGAAGATTGGGAAGACATTCACTAACTCTGAGCCAGTGTTTATATATTTAACAATGGTTTCATGGCACGTTACGCACTGATCTAGAGTGGATCAACGACCCATCATTGCCAGACCCACAGCCGGGGGATCCCGTAATTAAGTTATACAGCTGGCTCCCTCCCCATGACTCAAGCACCTACCAAATGCTAGCTAATGATTATTCTCTACTGTATTAATACCAGCTTTGTGTCAGTATTTATCTATGTCTCACTGACGGAGTAAACGTGCGGAGACGACCTGCTTCAAACGAGAATGAGAGATTTACAGCAGTATGGTTGCCGTATCGCTTGATGCTTACTTACATCTGTCTCATCGCCATGTCACTTGATGCTTACATCTGTCTCATCGCCATGTCACTTGATGCTTACATCTGTCTCATCGCCATAGGTTGTGATTGTCGCACCGGCAGTGACGT